TACGGGGAGTGGTTTGAAGAACCACCATGTGACAATTTGTATCAAAGTAGTTACGATCAGTTGCAAGTCAACGAGTTTTGTTAGGTTCAGTTGCAAGCTTGACAGTGTGCAAGCAATAAGAAATGATTTGAGGTAAATAATGGCATATTAGTAGGTCAAACCAATCGAAACCCACACTTAAGGCAAAGGAAACTTGTGGTGCCAATATGAAGGCCAACTCATGCTCTTGAGACCTTGTTGTTTAAGGTTGAAGTGATAGTCAAGGAAATGTGAGATCAACTTGATGTGCATAAAGAGCGCATGGAAGAGTTCAACTCAGGATGAAGAGCTTAAAAAGAGGTCTAAGAGATGGTAAAGGAAACCCTTGAGGATGTGATTGAGAAAAACTCTTAACTTGAGAGCATAAAAAATATCTTGAGGCATGAGTTAGAGGAACTAAGGACAGAGGTCCATTTTGCATGGGTTAAAGAAGGCCACGGGGCTATTGCAAAACCTGAGGTAAGGCTTGAGGTATCGAAGCTAAGGGTGTTCCACGACAAGAGAGATGCTCAAGAAATAAACAATTTCCTTTGGGGGCTGGAGCAGTATTTTAAGGTTGAGGACTATTACGGATGACCGTAACATCCATGTATCTAGGAGATACAACATCGCTTTGGTGGAAGAAACGATGTGATGAGAGGCTTAGGGGAGCCTCAATGCTCACATGGGCTTGTTTTCAACATGAGCTATGCCAACAATTTACCTAAAGTATGCTGAGGATTAAGGTCAAAGTAGTGTGGGAAAATATGTGAGTATGTGAAGGACTTCAGTGACTTAGCACTACAAATAGGTGACTTTGGTGAGAAGGAGGCATTTTTTGCTTTCATGAACGGCTTGAAGCCATCAACCAAGCAACAGTTGCAGAGGAAGGGTATGCAGGACCTCACTTGGGCAATGGCAATGGCAGAAAGCCTAGTAAATTACTCTCGATCGGACAAGGATAAGTCTTTGCCTTCCAAGCCCAAAGACAAATGGAAAGGTTGGGCAGATAAAGGTGAGCATTCCAAGGATAAAGGCAATGGTGATGGCAAGCCACAACATCAATTGAAGGACAAGTCTACTTGGAATAAGATAGTAAGCCTAAGAACTATTTCTTGTTTGATGGCCCACAATGGGTTGAAAACTATCCCAACATATTAAATTGGTGGCAATTGCCTCGAAAGAGGATCAATATTAGGTTGAGATAGTTGAGATGGGATCGATGCTACCAAGGGCAATGAGAAAATTTAACAGCCAAGCCAAGGGGCTCATGTGTGCAGAAATGGTAATGGTTGGCTAGCAAGTTGAGGCTCTAATGGACATAGGTGTTTTTGACTTGTTTGTGTCCAAGCAAGCTGGTGCATGGCTAAGCATAAAGGTAAATACTATTGGGGGTTGGATCAAAACACTGAGCTCAAAGAAGATGCAAACCAAAGGCATTGTCAAAGGTGTGGATGTGCTATTGGGTGAGTGGTATGGGGTAGAGAATATAGAAGTCCTTCCTATGGATGACCATGACATGGTTATGGGGATCAGATTCTTGTACAAAATTTAGACATTGTTAGTGTCGCATGCTAATTATGTTTGCATCGTAGACCCTTGGATGTAGTGTGTGGTGTTAGTCAAGTGTGACTGTGCCCAAGAGGCTAAAATGCTGTCAGCCATGTGACTAACTAAAGGTGTGAGCAAGGGTAAGGAGACCTTTGTTGTTGTGTTGAGCTTAGAATACACTCTAGGTGTTGTGATTGAGGCTCCAACAGAAGTTCTTGAGGTACTAGAGTAGTTTTGAGATGTAATGCCTGTCAAGTTGCTGACCTATTTGCCTTTTGCACTAAAGATAGACCATCACATTGAGTTAGTGCCAAGAGCCTAGTCGCTTGTAAGGGCATCTTATCGAATAGACCCCCTTGAGTTGGTAGAGCTAAGGAAGTAGCTCAGGGTGCTTACAGTTGCCAGTTTCATCAAGCCATTGAAGTCTCTATTTGATGCTCCGATTTTGTTTAAAAAGAAATTTGATGGCTTTTTATGGCTATGCATAGACTACAAGGCTTTAAACATGTTGACTGTAAAAAACAAATACCTAATTCCACTCGTAGTCTATATGTTTGATTAGTTAGGGGATGTTAAATGGTTTTCTAAGTTAAACTTATGGTCTAGGTATTACCAAGTCAAGATAATAGAAAGGGGCATTGACAAGACCACTTGTGATATTAGATATGGCTTGTATGAATTCTTAGTGATGCTGTTTAGACTGACTAATCCCTTGGCAACCTTTTGCATGCTCATGAATAAGGTACTACAGCTGTTCCTTGACAAGTTCATTATAGTATACCTTGATGATATTGTAGACACTAATTTTGTTCAAGACTTAACTTATTTTTATTTATTTATCTTCACTTTGTTTTTGGTTTATTTTCCATTTTAAATTTGATTGATCTTTGGGTTGTAGGAATTCTGGGTTTATAATCCAAATGGGTTCATAAAACAAATGGATCAAAATTTAGTAAGGTAATGGTATTGGGTTTGTAAGCCAATAAACAATAACAATAAAGCAAAAACACATAAACAAAGACCAAACGAAACAAAAAAGGAAAGTGAATCAAAATCAGAACAGTTGGAAAAAAAACAACAACAAAAGGAAGGTAAGATTAAAAGAAAAAGATCAATTAAAAAAGGAAAAAGGATCAATGAATCCCTAAAATCCTTCACAAATCAAAAGGTTTTATATCAAAAAAATCCTTCCAGGAATAAAATAAAAAAAACAAAAATAAAGTCAAAGATTTGTAATTAAATCAAGAATATAAAAAAATACCTATAAAACCTAAAAAAAAAAACATAGCAACACACACAGAAAAAAGGAGACAAAAATTACACAAGAAAGATTAGTAAAAAAAGTGTTTTTGGTTTTTTGGGGTTTTGAAATTTTTAGATTTAAGTTTAGGAATTTCGGGGAAGTTTTAGAGAAAACAAGTTTGATTAAAAAAAAAGATTGGCTTGAAAGGGTCTTTGGGGTTGAATTTTGGTGAGATTTCGACACCGATGAACGGTGGCCAAAGGTGGAGAGTGCAGTGGCCGGTGAGATTCTAATAATTGAAATTTGGAAAAGAAGGCAAAGGAGAGGGTTTTTTTTCTTTTTTGTTAGAGAAAGAAGGATAGCATCAGCACTAGAGAGAGAAAAATATGATAAGAGTGTCTTAGGCTTTTTAAGAGAGTATTTTATACCTTATTAAAACGACACAATTTTGATAATGGAGCATTTGGACTTTGGGTTAGTTGCGATGGGCCACTTTTGATTAAGCCCACTTATTAAGCTTGCTTCCTGGGTTGTTAGATTGATAGGTTGTCAAAGCCCATCTTACTTGGATCTTTAGATATTTGATTGTAGCTCACTTGACCAAACCCACTCCTTGTTGGTCCACCTACTAAGTATGGGCTTGAGCCTTCATGTTTCTCATTTTATTTATTTATGTTTATTTATTTTATTTTATTTTATTTTCTATACAAATGAAAAATAAAATAAAATAAAATAAAAATAAAGTTTTGTTTTAAATCATAATTAGGCTAGGATGAAATTCTTACAACTATAATTAGTAGAATAAAATCATAACAATAAAAATAGCAAAGATTTGTAATTATTTAAAAATAAATCTTTTAAATGGAATTTTAAGGGAAGTTGTAAGGGATAACTTTTCTTAAAATTTTCAGAGTAAAATTAATTATGGGACCTCACCACAAGGGTTGGGGGTAATCCCATATATATATTTACCAAAAATGTTTATTTCTAAATAAGTAATAAGAACATAGAGAAATAAATACTTTAGATTTTGTAAATATAATTTCATAATGAATGCTAAATATATAATAAATGGAAGTCTTTTGATAATGAAATTTCAAGAATGTTATAAGGGATAACTTTCTTGAAAATTTTTAGGTGAAAATCTTTTTAATTTTAACAAAAAGGTTGGGGAATTTAGGAAGAATTTCAAATATTAAAGGACATTTTATTTATTTTAAAGTGGTAATAAATTAGAGAAATTATTAAGGGAAATAAATTGGGATATGCAAATAAAATTAATTTATTAAGGCTAAAAAGAAAACATATAATTAATTAGGTATCATTTTCAATGGGCGTTGTGAGGGTGCTACTCCCTTCGCCACACGTAATTGTGCTTCCGAACCTAATTGGTTTCGTAAACCAGAACCTATGTTTTTATTGAACTTAAGTCAAGCCTAAGTTCTCATTAGAAAAATAAATTCAATTAGGTGGTCAATTACACCTATAAAAAAAAGATTGATGGTGACTCCTTTTA